AAGATACCTAAAGGTGCATTTATTATTTACATAGCTCGATCAAACCGATAAGAGAAAAGACGGAAATGACATAGAACTAATGAAGATGGCATGATCGTGGGCGCCAAGATCCCTCTTGGATCTCTTGTCCTGTGTTGTAATTAATGATATAACAATTGACAAATTGTCCCTGTTCTTTGTTTGTAGGCTCCACGACTTACTTCCACCACACAAGCGTAGAACGTGCCGAGGCTATAATGCAGGACGGTGTCATCCGTCAGTCCACTGGGGGCGGAGGTGACGCAGTATATGGAAACGGCACCTACTTAACTCGACTTGGGCCCAAACGTTCAGCTGGAGAGATTGCCCGCAATAACTGGGATGGCTTGTCGGGCAATCATTGGGAATATATGGAGGGTTCGGGGCGAACTGATGCCGCGATCGCCATAGAAATGCCAGCACATGAGGCCGGCAAAGTGGAAAGACTACCAGAACGCAGGGACATCCATCTTTATCCAGGGGACCTCAAACTGTACAACAAAAACCACCGTGTCTACATCCGGGACCAGAATGGCAAGGCACGGGAATACACACGCGAGTATCAGTAGCTGTGTGATCTGGAACTTGTCTTGTAATTTTGGAAGCTGCATTCTAAGGGACCAAAACTCTTAAAAGGGACATTTTAATGTGCTACAATATATATTCACAGCATTACATTGTAGACTCCTTAAAGTAGTATCTTTTAGGTTGTAGTCTATTTCATAAATCTTTGATAGAGTAGTTTAGTTTACTGTAGCTAGTATGTTATTGTCTAGTTTACTGTGTAGCTAGTTTATAGTCTAGTTTACTGTAGCTAGTATGTTATAGTCTAGTTTACTGTAGCTAGTATGTTATAATCTAGTTAGTATTTTGTTATAACATGTAGTAAAATAGTATGTAGTTTGTTATTGCTGGTCAGGATCAGTATTGTTCAAGTTCTAACGTTTTGTCACATTTATGTCCAGGTTTTTATGCCATTTTCTGTATTTTTCCAATACAAGACATGCCTTGCTATGTCTCGATGTGTTTACAACCTGCATACAATTTAGCACGTTTATGTTTATGTTGAGTGTAAAGTATTTTTCATAGTCGGACACTGAACCAAGTGTCTAAAAAATCAAACTTTAATTGTTGTATCCGTAAAGTATCAAATGCAGGTGTCAAATATGTTGGAAATGTCAAGCGTTCTATTAAACCACCATCATGTTTTCTGTGTTGAGATTCTCGTGTAATGGTCAAATTTACAGCTCTGACTGGGGTCAAAGATCGGTAAAAAAAATCAAAATTTTCTTTTTCATTTGGACTAAAGCTATCATCATACTTGGCCATATCATTGGTCATATCGTTCAAAAGTTTTTCAAAAAATTTCGTAGTGTTCATGGAATACCATAACATTTCCTCCTATAAATGGCCTTGATCTTCTTTCAAGTACAATAGTAGAAACCTTAAATAACATTTATTATCAATAGAACAATATTGTAATAAACAACTATACTTTTGTTATATTTCACAATTTTTGTAAATGTTAAAAGGTCAAATTTTCAGCACTGGTTGGGATGAGTGGTCACTTCATTCAACATGAGGCCAATTCATGTATGAACAAATGTATTAATGAAACTTGCATTCATTAGAGTGGGTGGATCGCTGCAGTGTTGATTTTTTTTCTGAAGAGTAGGATCCTGTTTTAGAAAAAAATCCATTTCTCGTATCGTTATGCCAATTTATAATGGCACTACATATGCATGTTGGACGACTTTTATTTGGGTATTACATTATAAATATAATGGCTCATTAAAGTATTCAATGCAATGATAGCAACAACTATCTACATATTGACACTTCCAATAATGCTTAAATCTAGTGGGATACATTTGCTGGGTCTTTTCGCTGAAGCGTGATGGTGATTTAGAGCACGTGATATTGCTGAAGTTCGACAGTGATTTGACAGCGTGTCATATCGCAGAAGTGAAACTGCGATGATAACTAGCACATTGTATTGCCAATTAAGAGTATTTGACATTTATAGATTAATTTGTTTTCCCATTAGATAAACACTGCAGTTTGATTATGATGATGACTTTCGCTGAAGTATAACAGTGGCCTTAGCTTGCATGTTGCATCACTAGAGAATGACAATGTTCACTGAAATATGATTGGGATGTTTATTACAGTATACATCGTGTTAATGTGAACGTGTCAACAACAGTCTTTCCAGCATCTTTCACCGTTGTCTTTGACTGAACGTGTCAACAACACTCTTTCCCGCATCTTTCACCGTTGTCTATGACTGAACGCGTCAACAACAGTCTTTCCAGCATCTTTCAGCGTGTCTATGACACGGACGAACTGAAGGCGGTACATGCCCGCCACTTCAAACAAATGTTTAGGACAAGTCTGCATAACTGTCACTGCATTTGAGTAGATTGTTTTTGATGAATGAGTGTATAATCTGTGTAATAAATGAATCCTAGTCGTGAAACCTCACCTGATCATCATATTCAGTTATATTTCATCATCTTGTATGAATCAAAACACGGATGTTACACATTTTCTATTATTAACTTTGTGGTTTATTTAGATGTTTTATAGTCACAAAGTCATCAAAAGTGTTTGTTAGGACTGTTCATTTAAAGTGTTTAAAATATTTTTGATGTTATAATTGCTTTGATAATAATTAAATAGTAGTCAAATCTGAAAATTGTTCACCACATTTGCCAGTATGGTATTTTGTATGTACATGCACATCAGTATTTTGGATTCTGCATGTTGTGAGTGATTCAGGTTGATCTAATTGATGAAACGCAATGTTGTCACTCTTGTTTTGTTATCTTGTGACGATTTTTATGCAATAAAAGCGTGGATAGAACCCGGTGTTTGTGTATTATATGTAATGTTCATTAAATTAAAACATGTTAAAACCAGAGGAGTTTTTATATATACAGATTGAGGCTTCACTTTTATTGCCAGAAAGGGCAAACACTTGTTTAGAGGCCAACCAAACCCCTGACCTTTTATCAAAATAGCTTCTGGACCATATCTTCCTAAATATTTATGTAATGAGGTCATAATTGTTATACATTTACATCATTGGATCTCAACGTTAGGTATACGCATACATCCTTAGTTGTCAGTGAGGTCTGTCACCGACCCATGGGACTTCTGGTCTCTAGATCATCACTCATGACAGGAAAGAAAATACAAAAAAAATCTTTTAACAATATGCCAAAATGTGTATTGAATGCAGTAAGAATGTGTTACCCCAATACGTCAACTGAGGGATATCCTGGACATTCATGGGGAAGTGATGGATCAATACTTTATAAATAAATTTGAATGATCAATTTATATATTACTATGAAATTAAATTCGGGGATTATTTAAGCATTGAACTGTTTTTGTATGGTATTTATGATCTATTTGAATAACAAAGCTTTGCATGCAAACAACATAATGATTTGTTTGCTTGCAAAGCTGTGTCATTCAAATAGATCATAAATACCATACAAAAACAGTTCAATACTTATTTTTACGTTTTCTATGCCTCTTATGTTCTTTTTTAACTTACATTTTATATTTAAAATATAAAATTCCTGCCTTATCGACAGTCCACACACATTCGTTCAATAGTTGGAACAGCGTGTTGTCGCGTGCTGATTGGCAAACAAAGTAGTACTTTGAAATTTTAACAAACACTTCAATTTTATTCTACAATTCAGTATCAATACAATTGCGTATGATATGTCTATAGTGTGATTTAAGATTATCAATAAAACTCGGGAGCTGAAAGTTAGATTTGAAATTGTTTCGATTCTTCCCCGGAACAAATTTCGCGCATGGATAAATACAGTGAACACCGCAAATCCGACCTTGCCCTCCACGAGGAAGTTTTTTTTGGAAGTTGATTCGAACTTTTCTCTTTGCTCGTTTTGTGAGGGATCCAGACGTGAACGGTGCATTGTTGAATCCACAAATAGGGATGTAAATCATACATGGGAACTCTTCAAATCAACCCTCTTGGGATTTCATTAAGGACAACATACCTCATAAAACCATCAAACCCAAACCTAGTCTACCTTGGGTCACTCTTGACAATAAACAGCTTCTAGGAAAAGAAATCGACTGTATAAAAATGTCAAAAAGTCTGGTGATCTGAACACGAGGACTAAATACAAGGCTCTAAAGCAAGACATTCAAAAGAAACTCAGAAGGTCCAACTGGCAATATGTTGAAGGCTTTCTTACCCCACAAGAAAATGACAATACTTTTAGTGCCTCCAAAATATTCCGGTCATACATGAAGCATGAAAAGACCAAATATAACGGTATATCATCCCTAAAATCACATGGTAAACTTGTAACTGACCCTGTAGGTAAGGCTGAGACCCTTAACACTCAATTCCAGTCTGTTTTTAGCCCAGGTGGTAAATTATCCTTTGATGAATTCCTTTAAAAAATGTAACATCCCATCTTCTACCCAGTACCCTATTATGCCAGAATGTAATATCACTCCAAATGGCGTACAAAAAATACTGCAACATTTAAACCCTAGTAAAGCAGCTGGACCTGACGAGTTGAACTCTCTTCTGAAATTGCCCCTGTCCTCTCTATCATCTTTAACGAATCTCTTAATTCTGGCTCTAAATTAAATCAGAAAATTTAAAGGCCAATCTCTCTCACATGTATTTGTAGCAAACTTCTAGAACACATAGTGGTTAGTAACATCATGAACCACGCTGACAAACATAACATCATTTACCCACTCCAACACGGTTTTCGAAGGTCAATATCATGTGAGAGTCAGCTCGTTGATGATGTCAGCTCCAACATTGACAAGGGAAAACAAACCGACGTCTTGATTAGGGATTTTTCCAAAGCTTTTGACAAGGTTAGTCATTCGCTTCTTTGTCATAAGCTTCGTTACTATGGTGTAAATGAGAAGGTTAACACCTGGATAGAAAACTTCCTGGATAATAGGAACCAGGCTGTCATCGTTGAGGAGGAGGACGTCTTTTTGCAGATGACACCATTGTTTATCTTACTATCAAATCATCATCTGATGACCAGCTATTACAACTAGATTTAGACAAATTAGCTCTATGGGAGATAGCATGGGAAATGTTCTTCCATCCTGACAAATGTAACGTCCTTTCCATCACCAACAACAAACACCCACACCATCACAAATACATTACAACACGTAGACAAAGCAAAATATTTAGGTGTCACTATACAGTCAAATCTCAAGTGGGAATGTCAGATAAATAACATCTGTGGGAAAGCCAACTCCACCTTAGGCTTTCTCAGACGAAATCTAAAGATAAACCCTACATATGTCAAGGAGCGGGCATATAAAACACTTGTCAGACCATCCCTAGAATTTTCATGCTCAGTTTGGGACCCTTATTATACTAAAACAGACATAAACAAAATAAAAATGGTGCAGCGTAGAGCAGCCAGATTAGTCACCAACAAATTTAGAAACACTTCCAGTGTTTATGACATGCTTCAACACCTTAACTGGCAATCACTTGAAGACAGAAGGAGAGTCATGCGACTGACAACACTACATAAAACTAAACATGACAAAGTCAATATAAGAAAAGACCAACTCATACCTCCATACCGCCACACAAGACACGCACACCAGAACTCATATCAAACATTCTCATGTAG